ATTGACCAAATTCTGGACGAAGTTGAAATAATGAATTAAAGAAGACAGACGGAAAAAAGAGCAAGAAGTAAGTAAATTGATTGTGGGAGATTGATAAAAAAAAGATTTTTGCTAATTAGATTTCGATATAGAATCACTGGTATTTAAAATTGGAAGTTGCAACGAACGCTGGCGGTAGAAATGCTAAGGACTGTACTTTTCTTACCGAAGGTGACTCTGCAAAAACTTTGACAGTTGCCGTGATAATTATGGAATTTTCCCACTCCGGGGAAACTTTTAAACGCCCGTGAAGGTACACACTCCCATAATATAAAGCAAATCCTTGGACTGAAGCAAGGAAGAAATATTCATTAACAAGCGAATTACGATATGGGCGTCTGATGATCATGACGGATCAAGATCACGATGGAAGCCATATTTATTTCCCTCCTTATTTAAAGTTCCGGGTTTCTTATGGGAATTCATCACACCGATCGTAGTTATAAAACCATTAAATCACGCTAATAATTAAAATAATCGTGAGATCCAATTATAATGTACCAAATTTATTAGTGTACGAAGGGTGATAAAGAGGTGTCATTCTTTACCATGCATGAATATGAAAATTGAAAGATATTGCTAAAAAATTAAAGGTCAAATTTTACAAGGTAATTTCTTTATAAATAATTTTTACAACAATTGACTTTACTAACTAATACTGTTGTAATATTATACTGTTAAATTACAAAGAAACGCTTGAGCTGTGGATATCCGGAACAGATAAAGTCCCCAAGCTGGATCCTCGTACGTAAACATTTATGTACTTGGAAATTTTTAATATTTTATTAAATTATTTTTTATAAATACTAGGAGTACAAAGAAGACCATATAACCACTACCGTAAAATTAACGCGAATAATTCTAAGAGATCCTTTAAAAGAAGGACTTGAAAGATGATTTTAGATGCGCACGACCATCGGAACGTCGAACATGGTGTGTTTCGATGGCAAGGGTCGTATTCGAAAATATAATTCTCCCTAAGAAATTCTTCAGGAACTTTAAACATACAGGCTCGGATATTAGAAGTGGAAGGTTCGTATTTATATTAATATCAATCATCATCATCATCTTATATTAATTTAATTTGTGGAGTATGATCCTAAATTTATAATTCTCAATAAACTTTTTAGGCTCACACGATAAAAATACTTGAAGCCGGAGTTACCATGAACAAGAATAAATTCATAATGATCAAATGAGAGCTGATGGTAGTCTTAAATTTGAA